CCCCAAAACCCCAAAACCCCAAAACCCCAAAACCCCGGACTAGTAGGCCTAGATTGAATTTTACAGAAGAGAGAATTCAGTCAAGGACTTGGAGGATTCATGGTAAATGGGAATGGTATAGTGGAAAGATTAAAATTTTGAATGGAAAAGGGTATAATAATGAGCTAAATGGGTCGTAGATGTTAAAGTTGGTCTGTTCCTCTATGATTTTGATGTGGATAGCTTACCTGTTGGTTCGGATGAAGTTTGAAGCATGTGCTGATTTGATTGAGGAATACTTCTGAATGTTGATAATCATTGTGGTTGTTGTCTAAGTTAATCAAATGTAAAACTTTGTATGGAAAAATTGCAGATAGAATTTACCATATCTATTATATCCAGAGATGATAAGCATTTTCACAGGAACATTTTCTGGCTCAATTATAAAAGCTTGAATGGGATATTAGCAAATTTAAGTATAAAATTTTTTGGTAGATTTATTGTACCTCTATTTTGACTTTTAAGTTATTATAAATAATGGAGAATTGGAATCATGGCAACTTCCCTAACTTTCTTCTTATATCCAAACAGTAAAAACAATTAAATTTGATGGTTCAAACCATCTCCACACTAATTTCTATCAATCCGGACATAAAACCGCCAAAACTCCCAAAACACCCTACACAAAACCCAAAAAATCTTAATCCCCAACAAAAATCCCCCTTCACCCTCTTCATCACCAATCTCCCCTCCCTTCTGTCCCTTCCTCTTCAGTCTCAATCTCAATCCCAATTTCTTCCACAATCAAATTTCCCCTATGAAATCTCAGAATTTATAGTACAAAATTTTACACTTGACTTACTGTGGAATCTGAGTTTTGGAGCTGGAGCAGTAGGATTGGCTGTGGGTGCAGGTTTGGGGGGAGATTTGGGGGGGTGGAGGATGAGGGGCTGAAGGCTTGTAGGGGTTAAGGGGTGGTAGAGGTTGGGGAGGATGGGGGATTTGGAGTCTGTGGGAGTGGTGAGGAGGAAGGATATTTTTAGGGGGTATGGGGGAAGAGGGGTAGAAGTGGTAGTAGAGATTGTATTGGGAAGCTGTTTTTGTATAAGATATATTTGGGTATTGAGTGATTAGAATTTTTATAATAATTTAATTATATTTTTGGTATAACTCCTCTCAAAACCGGGGTTTTGGGGTTTTGGGGTTTTGGGG